TTCTTTTCACCCAACTCCGGGCAGTACAAGAGCGGTCGAGCTACTTGAGACACATTGAACCACGACACCGTTGCCAAGGCAGCATCGTCGGGGGCCTCGGAAGCGCCTGCTATAGGTGCGGGAGGGAAAGAGGTGAGAAATAGCCTCCCACTCCTCCCCGTAGCACCCTAGCCCTATAGGCAGGGGCGCATAGGGAAGAAAGAATGGGGTGGGAACACGCCCTCAAGCCACCACCATCATGCTTCGAAAAGCATCGAGGGGACACCATGGGATGGCAACGCCTCCACCGAACTTAGGGCGGCTTTCCAAAGCTGTCTACAAGTATGGGGAGAAACTAGAAGTTGTCCTTGGTGCTCGTGTTTCAGCAACCCGAGACCTGCGGGTTTGGGTAAGCGCTTGAATCATGAGACCCCATGGTTAGCCAGAGCACCACCCCGGTCCTTCCCTACTTGCAAAATCCCTTCTAGCACCAGTTGTTGGAAGGGCAACGCTGGCTCCAGCCACCGTAGGAGACCCCAGAAGGAACACTCGACGGGAGCCACGCGGTCCCCCCTGAGCATTTCTCTCCCATTTCCTCTCTCTCGGCAGGAAGGTGGGAGACGATGTGTAGACGCAACGACGTGTGATTCAAACGGCGGGGGACCAGTACTTATAGGCCCAGGGGGGACAGAGCAGCTCAAGACCCAATCGCCGCTTGGTGAATCACGAAAGGTCACCGATAGTAATGGATACCTGCATAAGGCTGGAAAAATTGAGACCCTCACGAAAGCAGGACCGGTATAGTGTCTACAAGACCAGACGATTCCGCCTAGCTCACGGGTGCGTATCCCATCATCAGGGGACAGAAAAGGGGGTCGAGTGGCGAAGCTCGGAAAAGCCACAAAAGGGCACAACATCCACCTGCCACATTAAATGTACCAGCCCGCAAGGGGTCGAGCGACGAAGCTCGGAAAGTCCACGACCACAAACCTGCACTCCAGCATACACACGCATCAGCGCTTTCATGATCACTTCGTGGTCGTAAAAACGCTCGGGGGCTACTGTCGGTGTTATGACCCCGGGGTGTCCCAAGGCATCGATTAGTTAGTAGGCCACACGGCCTGCAATACAGCAGCTAACGAAAGGCCCGAACGACCGAGGCCTAGCGAAAATCGAGCGGAGTGGGCTAGCCACCAAGACCGGGGTCATCCTCGACCTCTTCCACTCGCCTTAGCACACAATGCTCGCAAGACGCATGACCCCTCCCCGTCACGACCCCCGAAAGGGATGGGGGGAGGTCAAGAGTAGCTAGGTGCGTCTGCTCTGACAAGAACAAGCATGCCACACTAACTTTGCAAGGACCGAGGGGGCAGCAGTCACCTCGGTCCGGGCAGACACCATCCCTATGCCATGCCGCACCAACGAGACAACACCACACCATGGTGGCAATGGGTACGATACCCACCATCCAAATACGGACCGACTAGACGCTTGTACGATGCCATCTACCACGGGATGGGATCCATGACAAGGGACTCGACGAAGAGGCCATCTAGACCGACAGAGCGCCCCGACACCGACGATCGGGGTCGCGGCCCTCGGCCCTGTAAAGCCACCAGGCGAACGACGACCGGGGCGGCTATCTACTTCGGGTACGACGCCCCTAGGAACCAGGAGATGATGATGAAGGCCACGATGGAGACCGTGTTGCACAGGATGGCTGACGAACCACCATTGAGGCTACAGTGCCACCACGGCCGGCACAGTAGCGCCATGCCACACCCTATCGCAACGCGGCCAGAAGACCATGATGATAGCCACGACCAGACGTGCACCAGAAGACGACATAGCTTGCAAGCCAAGTTAGCTAGGACCTCCCTCAGGCTCTTGACCCTTCGAACAGGAGAACCTCCTGCTTTGTATGTGCCCTGGCTCCGAACTCTACATAAGGGTAGCCAGGGCACCCTCTCGAGACATATTCGGAATCCTCTACCATTCACCATCATAGTAGGGCTCTTAGAGCTTCTCTTTAGGCAGCCCTTCGCCTAGCATAGGTCCTTCCATCCCTTCCACCATTCTTGCACCCCATTGTAAGAACTTTAGAGCATTCAAGCGAGGAACACGCACTCAATCATCTCTGAGACTGGACGTAGGGCTCCGGCCTGAACCAGTATAAATCCTCGTATCTATTGGATGCTACCATCGTCTTCCTAGAGCAGCGTGATAATCATATAAGTTTACTAGTTTGGTTTACAAAGCACCGACAATTAGTAAATTTAAATGATCTACAAGCAAAATGACCATTCTTAGTAGACGAGCAATACTAAAGTATGGCCGTACTGCTCCAAAGATGCCACCTGCAGAAGGCGAAGAAGACGAGAGGGGCTATGTCTCTAAAGTCTGAACCGAATGCAATACAAATAACAGAAGACAGATCACACGAAATGCAATGTTTAGATAAACAAGGATTCCTTCTGTTATAAAACCATTTGAATCCAAATAGCTTAGAGGTCACACATGATGAAATCTAAATGCAGTTACTGAGATCTATAAAGGCACGTCCTCGAAAAGAAATGGATCACAGGACAAAAATCATAAATAAAAGAAATGTACCTGTCGACATGGATGATTCTCGGATGGAAACGCTAACGACAATGAAGTCAGCGTGTTGACAGTGTGGGATGTGGGCATGTGGTTGTAGACTGCACGACGCCGGTGTGCAGGCTGAGAGAAGGTTTGCGGTGATCATTGATTCATTGGGGATGGAGAGGGATCGGGAAGGCGGTGACTGTCTTTGGGATCGGGGATCACCTTGCTGCGACTGCGGCCACCGGTGTGGGTGGGAACTAGGAACGAACCACGCCTCATCGGCTGCCTCTCGCCGTTGGCCGCTGCTGTGGACTGCAGGTGGGAACTAGGATCAGGAAGAAGGATCGGCCGAGGTGGTTGACGAGCTTGCCGGTCTGCTTGGACTGCTCGAGGACGAGGCGTTCTCTCGGGGAGGGGAAGGCAGATGGCGGCGACAAACGCGGGATGCGTGATTTAGGAATTAGGAGGTGGGACGGGAGGGAATTTAGGAAGGTGGGATAGGGAGGTGCCGTGATTACTGTGATCAGCGCAGGACTACCGGAAACGATTTCGGGAGAGGCAGACTCGCAGGATCACACGCCGTAGGCAGAAAGGCGACCCGATCGAAAGTCGCACGAAACGGTGGTCTTACTTTCTTTCTTTTAGTTCTATAGTAGGAGAATAATATGTGATCATAACTTCTTAGTAGGCCCGGCCCCAAGGGGGGTCTAGCTGGGCGGCCGCAGTGGGCCTTCAAAACCAAGGGCCCCAACTCCAAGTATATATGTGTTGTAGATAGGAGTGGATACATTGGCCCCATAGAAAAAAAGGAGAGCCCAGCCTACCTAAGACCATTTGCCTTCCGCGCGGTTCCGTTGCAATAACTATCTACGTATGTTACAAGCATATGTTTTAAATATTTCAACTGTTTTAAACGTATGTTGCAAGTGTTTCATTTGGATGTTGCATATGTTGCATGGCGATACACGTATATTGCAAGTGTATGTTTTAAATGTTCCGGCTGTTTTAAACGTATGTTGCAGGTGTTTTATGTAGATGTTGCATATGTTACAGTGCCCATACACATATGTTGCAACCATATGTTGTAAATGTTTCATTTATTTCGTACGTATGTTGCAGCAAATCCTTTATGTTGCAAGTGTTTTATCAGCAGGCTAGAGGGTGCAGGCAGAGGTGGTCCACTCAGGCGCATCGGTTCCCGTGTGCACACGGGAAGCCAAGCAGGTGCGGAGCACAAAGCTGTATCCATAAGTACGACAGCAGACGTAAAGCACGAAGCTGTTTCCATGCTCGACTACTCTCTCTCCTTATTCCAGCCGGATGCGGCCCGCCAGCAGCAGCATGACGCGCCAACAGCAGCATGCGGGCAGCAGGAGTGCATGGCCAGGCGTGGCCCGTCACTGCTGCTCCTGGTGGCAGCGGGTGCGCTGATTTCCCCTACAAGGGTGCACGGTCAAATCAGGACCCAACGGCAGAGACGGGAAAGGTGCATGCGCGGGCGCTGCGCGGGAAAGCCGGACACGGACCCGGCAGCAGGCGCGGGGCACCGGACAAGCTGCTGGCACCGGACGTCCTGTACCTACAAAGCAGGCCTCTAGCATCGATGACATAAAAAAAAAAGAAAAAAAAAGATAGTGGAGTTGATAGTCACACAGATGATCTATTAACTTTTTAAGACTAATACAAGCACGCCATGAAATTATTCAATGAGTTTGATGTTGATGTCACCATCAATGACTTTGCATCAACAAATATTAGAAGAAAAATAAAAGAATACCATTATTATTAATAATTAAAAGGGCCCATTATTTTAGCTTCATACAGTGAAATTGCAATTCAATTCTTGCTCATACAGTGAAAATTGCAATCTCTAAACCCAAATTAAGCTGCATACAGTAAAAATTGCAATTCAGTCTGATGCGTTCGTAAATCCTAAATACACATCCATGCTTTCGTAGGTTAGAACTGTAGTCTGAAATGTATTGACTGTATGACCAGCATATCGCAGTGATGGACCCTGGATGTAGACCAATTTTACATGAACTCCTTATGAGACAGATGGTGGAAGATTAAAATGAGTAAGAAAATTTTCACAAAAATGCGAGGCATAATTTAACTAGTAAGCCTACTGAGATTCAGCGACTTGCCTCTGTAAAGTCACAAGGTAACTTGTTCCTGATCTCAGCCTTCTCTCCACCAGAAGTGGATCAGTCAATCTGTTCAACTGATTGCTGCAATTACAGAAAATTCTGCACAACTATATGTTCGCACAATGCACATAATTTCCAAGTTCCAACCAATTAACTTCGTATAGCTACCAAACTTCATTGAAATCTACCTCTGGAAAACATGCTTCACATTACTCTCATGACTCATCTTAGGACGAATCACCCCCCAAACACAGAAAACTGGCCAAGGTGTGGCCTATCTATTTACAAGTAAGAGGAGGCCATGCTGCGCACATCTGTCGGCATGAAGGCCAGCACAATCAGCAGGATGAGCAGGCAGACCGGCAGCCACAGCAGCAGCGACGGCGGCGGCGGCAGCGGAGGCAGCACCAGCGGCAGTATGAGCAGCGAGACGGTGAGGCAGGCGAGAACGAGGAACGCCCCGATGCTGAAGTAGGTGGACGCGATGACCTTCTTGTCAAGGAAATCCGCCTCCTGCTGCCGCTGCTGCAGGTGCCGCTTCACGGCATTATTCCTCCTCTGTATTGCGCCCCCTCCTTCCATCGCGCTAGGTCGGCTTGCCATGTGTTGTGTTCTTTGGTGTACGCGAAGATCAGTCACGGCGAGTGGTTGCAGAAGCAAGAAGTGAAAGGCGGTGGGAGGACTCTTTCTGAATGTTGTAATCAGATCTGAGCTCCGGTGATTGAATCGCCTGTCACTTGCTTTGGAAGAACTGCCCCTGAATCCAGAATACCTGTCAAGAAATGGAACACGAGTGTAAGAAGCTGAGTAAATCATGTGTTTTACCAACCAAATGGTCTTTTGAGCTGTCATTATGAACGTGATATTTACTTTAGCAAGGACGCCGTCGTAATCGCCTAGAATTTCTATAGCGGCGAACAAAGTTCAAACCTTTTCCGCAGAAAATTTCAGGCGAACAATTGCTACTTTGAAGAATCCGAAGAACCCAATCAAAAGAAAGATGAAGAATCACCCAAACGTATCGAAATCACACAGCAGGAAAAGGTACCTTTAATCCTGAACCTCGCATTGTTCTCTGGTCCGCACTGTTGAACCACCTGAACAAGCACGTTCTCCCCTTTCTCTTGCTCCCGTGGGAAGGCAAGAATCCCTCTTTAATCCCTCCAGATCAAGAAAAAGATCTCAAGAGCAGCAGCAGCTGAGAACTCCACGAAAGCTCGGATTCAACCGCCAGCAACGCCGCCGGACGGGACACCAACAGCCGGGGCGCGCAGAAGAAAACAGAGGGAAGCAGAGGAGGGGATCCGGTGATAGCGAAGCTGGTATCTCCCGTGACGACGCCGACTCGACTCCTGCTGTAGTTCCTGCTCCCGGGGGGATGGATGGAGATGGAAGGTGGGGTGTTGAGATTGAGTGAGCATGATGACGGACAGGGAGGACGACGGGTGGTCGATTTTATGCGTGGGGGATTCCATTCGGAGCGCGGATTCTCAAATCTCGGAGGTCGGGGGACGGAGGAAGGAGAGGGGTGGATACATTGCATCCAAGAAGGCAAGGACCAACTTGGGCAGGCAACCCGTGCAGCCAAAGCCAAGCGGCGGGGTGGAGTGCCGGCTGCCGTGTGCCGGTGGGACCCACACCCTTTCTCCCTTGACTCTTTCTACTGCACAAGCCATATGTTTTATGTAATTTCAACGCATGAATTTTTTTGGCACTATAAGATTAAGATCCAACAGCCTCCACTCTTTTTCTACCTCTAGCTTTCTTCTACCTTCAGACAATCACAAGATCACAGATCTATAGGTTACAAATTATATAAATTTTTTTTATAAAAGAACAAATTACAGATCCGTCGCCGTCATCACTGTAGATCGTGTTGAGGGCGAGTGGCCGGTAGGACGACACACGTATGCAGAAAAACGTGTGCCCCTCTGCGTACACTTCAAGTAAAAAATTAGGGCATGTTTAGTTGCTCAAACTTTGGACAATCAAAAAGCACGCAGCACTGTAGCGGTACTGTAGCATTTCGTTTTTATTTGGTAATAATTGTCCAACCTTTAACTAATTATGCTCAAAACGTTCGTCTCCTAAAGTGCAACTAAACTGTGTAATAGTTTTTTTTTTTACCTACATTTAATACTCCATACATGTATTAAAGATTTGATGTGATGTGATGTGATGGAGAATTTTGCACTGTGTAAAATTTGGAGGTGCAAAGTTGGTGAAACTAAACCAGGGTTTAATCTACACGTTGATTGCTTGCCTCTGTTTCAGTAATGGTGCATGCTGACACCTCCCTGACACCTGATTAATCGATCGAACATGGCAAGTTGTTTACCATTTCATCCCGTGCAACATTTTTGCAACTTGTGCAGGTGCAACGCCTATCATCACATGGTTCGCTAGTTTGATGAAGCGTGCGTGCACTGCCGTGAAGCCGACGACATCGCTTCCCCATGAGATCAGTGGACCGAAGCAGCAGTGTATCATGCATGTACACAGATTGCACCAAAAAATCAATGTGTTCTTTTTTTTTTTTTTTTAAACACACGTGTGTTGTATAACATTTCTGTAAAATTTACTAGTGAACACCAAATGGCATTATATTTTGTAGGGGTCAGCTAACATCAATTAGGACAAGTATATTAGTGTTGTCTTATAGAAAATATCATGCTATTAATTATAAAAAATGATCAAGGGGCTTTGCAATAATGTTTATAACGATGAAAGGGTCCCATTCATATTTTGGATCGTTGCATTGAAGTCCGTCGAAGAAAAGAAGGGAAAAGGGCAGTGCCCCCTTGCCGAACAGGCCTGGCCGGTCCTCTAGCCGGCCAGGCCAGCTGTCGGGGAGCCTGCACGCTCGCTGGTCTCCTGTGCCAGCCCTCCCTAAAGAAACTAGCCTGGCCAGTTTTGGGACCTGGCCAGGCCAGTCCTCCTGTCGCTCGTCGGCTCAGTCGACCCCAAGCCTACGAAAACCGGCCTGGCCTGTTTGGGAGCCGTCCAGGCCGGTTTGCCTTTACGAGTTCGAACTGATTACTTTCTAAATCGTTTTTACGTGTTTTTGCATAGGAAATTTGGAGATTACGATTTGGACATGTTTCCTATTAGGATAGGACCAGCCCCTCTATATATATATATCAGAGGATCACGTCCGATTGAAGGATCCAACACTCAATCGTCTTTTTTACTTCTATTATCTAACTTTTTTTCCTTTTTCAACCCTCCTACTGTTCGTTGCATCTCTCCACGAGATCATCAACGTTCTAGGTGACCTTGTCGACCTTAGAACAACCCTAGGCGTGCTCCTCCCCGACGGGTCCTTCCAGGGGGTGTTCCCAGGCTTTTGGGCGGTGAAGGATGGGCTCTAGATCGGCCTAATCGATTTCTAGATTGGCTTGGTTGATCCTTAGAGCTGTTTACTGTGTGGATAGGTTGACTGCAACCTAGGGCGTGCTAGCCCTCGCTGGTAGTGATTTGGGATCCAATCTAACGTCAACACATGCAGTGCCACGTAATCTTGAGATGATTGAATTACTAACTCATATAATAGATTGTCTTTTAAGTTTTCTTATAATAATTTTGTTAAGGATAATTTGTGCAATCAACACAAAAAGTTTGTGAGTTGCATGTCAACATTAAATCGTACAATAATGAAATAGTTGTCTTATCCTAAATTTTTGCTCACGAGGTGGTTTCTTCACAAAACAACGAGGCTGTGGTTGGTTCAGCTTTCGAAAATTGCTTCTACTGCCAAAAAGCTGAACGCTAACCAAACACGTGAAACCTGCAGCTGGTTTCACGTTGTGCAATTCTCATAGCACCTTGGACCCTTGCTTTCGATTTTTTGCTTTCTACTCTTGCAAATGGGTGAAAATAGAGATGTTCCACGGCCGTTTCAATGGAGATCGATAGATCGATCGAGAGGGGTATGTTTGGTAGTTGTTCGAACTAAACAGTTTATAACTTTCCCACGTCATAGGTCACATAAACTTTTCCCAGTTGAACTAAGGCCTGGTTTAGTTCCCAAAAATTTTTACCCTAAACTATTATATCGAATCTTGCGGCACATGCATAGAGTATTAAATATAGACGAAAAAAAAACTAATTGCACAGTTTCGTTGGAAATCGCGAGACGAATGTTTTAAGACTAATTAGTCCATGATTAGCCATAAGTGCTACAGTACTAACTTGCGCTAATGATGGATTAATTAGGCTTAATAAATTCGTCTCGCAGTTTCTAGACGAGCTATATAATTAGTTTTTTTATTAGTATCCGAAAACCCATTCCGACATCCCCGAAACATCCGATGTAACATCCAAAAATTTTCATTTCGCGAACTAAACACACACTAAACAGATCCTGAAGACCTGAACCGGTGAAATTTAGCAATGTACAGGCCCTTCGTACATGTGACGTGTTAACGTGTTTGGAAGAAAAAAAGATAATCTAAAGCTTCGCCACAATGTCTTGATCAATGCTAAAATCAAATGTAACGTCGATTAGTATGTTTAGATGATTTTTTAAATTCAGGAATATGATATATGTTTTTTCATAACGAAATATGATATATGCTAAGGCAGCCTTATAACTTATATGTAAGAACACCTGAAGGCGATTACTGTTTACAGGACAAGTCCAGATCTCGGACACTTCCAAAGCCACTGATCGTTATGAGCAAAATAGTCTTTCATCTTCGTCACGAATAAAATAGTTTTCAAAGATCACAATATGTACTATATAGTACTCAGTAATTAGGCCAACATGTGTCAAGAAGAAAACGCTAGTCTGCAGTTAGGTTAGCTCAATGAGTACATGCTGGTCGATTTCTGTTACATCCGTCCGATAAGCACAAATATTCACATCTTTGCAAAAGGAAGATATTATGCTCTTGAATGAATGGTAAAAAAAACTCAACATATATTCGACACGTAGATTGGCAGCAACGACGAACCGTCTTTACGGGGTGGATTGCGTGTCACACCTGAAGATAATAAGGGCAGTCCCGATGAAACTGATGCGGTTTCCATAGCACAAGAAATCATCTATAGAAACTACCTTCTACAGTGGAAGTGTCTTTGTGTAATAATTATTTTCTCTTTCTCTCTCCTAACTCTATCTTCTTACTCTAATAAGAGTGTGGCACGAACCCCCTGGAAACTGATGGTTTCTCCCCAATAACGATTTCATGGTTTTCTTGGTGCATTGGGTCAAGAGAAGATCTGATTTCTTTATGAGGAAACCATTTCTAGGATTTTTGCTCTCTTTCTTCATTAATTACTTTACCATGTCAGCATTTTATCTACGTAACAAGTCATTTAATGAGGATAGAAACCATCATCAATATATCGTTGGAACTGCCCTGAGAATCCCAATGAAACAGCAGGCGTAATCAAACTCTTCGTACTCTGCCACTCTGTCATTAATGCTAAGAACAAACATGTCGTATATCATACTACTATTTACTCACAAGTATAAGATTCTACATTTCATTTTTTCAAAAAAATAAATCAAACATTTTTTAAACATAACTTTTTAACATAAAAGTCAATCGATTTTAAATTTAACTAGATTTATCAAA